ACCGAACCTCGCGAAGTCCATGCGTCACAGGTTAAAGCGACTCGTCGAGCTCTTCCTAGTGAATTTATTACGTCTGATTTGTTGTAGAGTGTAGGCACGACTGTTTCTGAGAAAAACTTTCTTGACGGTATGACGTAACGTGGCTCCAAAGTGTGAATCATGTTTCTAAATCCATCATTCTCTACAACGGCATACGGTCGAATGTCTTTGCATATAAACATAGCAATTGACTTAGTGATCCGCCTTGCCTTGTCTGAAACGCTAGGTAGCTTATTCAATTTTGTAGCGGACTTCTTCTCTCGCCACAAAGAACCCCACGACACCACTGGCTTTCGGTGGACCACGTCTGCAGTTTATTAAAGACAGGACAAGGATTAACACCACGCAAACACACTCTCAGTTCTTTGGTCTGTCTCGCTCAAGTCCAAAGCTGTTCTGACCACATTTAACAATAAACTCTTAGAGCTTCTGACTGATCTGCTCATTTAACTGGCATCATTTGACATGACAATTGATTCAGCTCGAACACTCTGGTTGCTCACATATTTTTGGGTCCTTTCCCCATTACTGATGCACAATTGATCTGGTTCCAATTCATGTATACTATTGTCATCATCAGACTCGCTGTCAGAGTTCATTCCTCTTGCTTCATATTCATCACTAGAACTCTCAGTCTGTTCGCACCTCATTTCTGGCAGAAAGATTCTTCTTTCTTGTTTGACTCGCACAGTCTGAATGCTCCAACTCTGTGATGGGTTCTTTGGTCTTCTCCTTTACAGTAAACTCCCCTGTACTCTGAGATGCTTTGGGGCCTACACCCTGTAAAATCCACACAGCAGTTCTACTGTTCCTTGATTCTATTTCTGTACTGAGCAAAGATATTTGGCTTCGGCCTTCTGTTTGATACTTTTCCTCTTCCGACAGTGCTGATAGGACTGTAGATTCAATGTCCAGCTCTTCCAATGGAAGGAAATTAACTGGGAGGAGTAAGTTACGATGGACCACTTTGCTGTTCTTTGTTGTGGGATTTTCAACTCTGTAGATGGGTAATGATGGATCTTTCCATGTCACTACATGAACTGCTGAATTCCACATATCCGCCAACTTTCCTTTTCCTCTTTCCGTTTTATTTGCCAAGAGGACACGGTCTCCAACCTCCAGAGGGACACCCTTAGATCTTCTGTTATACCCTTCTGTCTGTTTCCTCTGTGCATCCGTAGCATTGCCCTTAGCAATATGCATGGCTTCTCGGAGATCCTTCTGGAGAGATTTTACATACTCATCATAAGTCTGAACATCCTCATTTCTGAGAGCACTCCCAAACATGTCTACAGGTAACCTTGGAATTCTTCCAAACATTAAGTAGAACAGTGCAAACCCTGTTGTTTCATGGGTAGTACAATTATAGGAGAACGTGAGTGTCTGAATCATTTGTGGCCATCTCTCCTTCGCTCGAGGAGGCAAAGAGCGGATCATGTTGCAAAGGGTGCGATTAAATCTTTCAGTCTGCCCATTGCCCATAGGATGGTACGGTGTGGTATGGGACTTATCAACACCAGACACCAGCAACAACTCCGCTATCAATTTGCTCTCGAAATTTGCACCTTTGTCAGAGTGTATTCTCTGTGGAAAGCCATACACACAGAAAAAGTTGTTCCACAATTTTTGAGCCACCACCCTGGCTGTTTGGTTGGGACAGGGAAACGCATGGGCTAGTTTTGTGAAATGGTCTGTTATGACTAGGACATCAACACTCTCTCCATGCGTTCCCTCTGCAGACCAGAAATCTATACATACAAGCTCAAGTGGTGCACTTGTTCTGATAGACTCCAGTGGAGCTCTGGCCTCAGGTTCCTGAGTCTTCCCAACCACGCATCTTTTACAGTGTGAGACATACTTTTTAACATCTGTGTCCATACCAGACCAGAAAAACCTCTGGCGTACAAGGTGAAGGGTTCTGCTTTGGCCTTGATGGCCTGCATCATCATGAGTTCCTCTGAGAGCAACAGTTCTCAATGAGTGTGGAAGTACAAGCTGGTGCCTGACTTTACCGACCCGATCTTTGGACCTGCGATAGAGCACTCCATCCTTTACTTCAAGTTTTTCCCAGTGCTTCAGAAGTCGCATTACTGGTGCAGTTTCATTGTCTCTCTCTCTACGTGATGGTCTCCTTTTCCTGTCAACAAAGAACACAACACGGGACACAGTGGGATCTGCTTCATGCGTATCTCCTCCATAGAGAAAACTGGAAGAGTGCTGACACCTCCATGGACAAAATGACTGCTCTGGGCAAGATGGACACTATGAACTGGACTGCAGGCTTCCCAGTTTAGACAGGACTCAAAGACAGCTTTTACCCCTTCACTACTAACCATCTTCAGTTTTCCAACTCGGGAATCCATGCTGCTTTCACTCATTTGATGGTGCATGTTCTGGAACAGTGTTGTAAATACAACATAACCACTGATTTCTAGTCCTTTTTTGGAAGACCAAACAAAGTAGTTTCGCGTGTTAGAACGAGCCATTTTAGGTAGGTGTGGCGGACTCTGAACTTTTATAAAGAATATCTCTTTGGATTTGAGACTTTAGTCTTTGCAACTTTACAGATCTTCTTTATGCACCAAGAGCTTGTAACACTCCAAAGAGAAAGGAAAAATTGAAATCGCATCATATGACCCCTTTAAGTCAAAATCAAAAGGGGCAAGCTTAGATACCCACCTTTGCTCACAGGCATCTAACTTTGGCTTTGACAGTATATACGTCAGGGGATTGTTATCAGTTAGCACTGTGAATTTCGTCCCCTTCAGCCAATGGGCGAATTTATCACAAACTGCCCACTTTAGTGCATAGAATTTCTAACCTATGAGCGGGATAATGGGACTGGGCTTTTGACGGGGTCTTACTCGCAAAAGTGACTGGTCTAGGTTTTGTTTCACCTCATGGAGTCTGACTCAAGACTGCACCAAAACCATCCATAGATGCATCTGTGGACAGCAGGAAAGGCTTTTTGAAGTCTGGATGGGCAAGAACAACAGTGTGAGAAAGCGCATGTTTTATCTTATCTACAGCTGTGTCACACTCTGCAGTCCAGTCTTCAGGACTTAAGACGCCTTGAGTTGGAAACATAGCGGGTCTTTTGTCCATCTTTCCTCCTGACTTTCTGTCCAGCTGTCAGTTTAAACAATGGTCTCGCTAAAGTCGAGAGGCCTTCAATGAAATGGGAATAATAATTTTTGGTTGGTGATGGAGTCATTCCATCTGCTTCCATCAGATCTGTGGGTTTAAAGTCACTGATTGCAGACACTTTAGTTGGATCGGTTGCTATGCCACTCTCAGTTACAATATGTCCCAGAAACGTAACAGTTTTTCTTAAGAACTAGCACTTCTTTTGTGCCAGTTTTAGGTTATGCTCTCTAAGCCGAGAAAACCATCTCAAGGCGATCGAGATCTTCCTTCTCAGTTTTGCCGAAGACAAGTAAGTCGTCTAAGTAGCAGAGAAGCGACAGGTAGTTCTGGTCTCCAAAGATCGATGTCATCATGTGTGAGAACGTTGTTGGGCCGTTACATAAACCCTGGGCCATACGGTTATATTCATAGAGCCCTACTGGAGTCGTGCATGCTGTATATTTACGGTCATCCTCATGAATTGGAATGTTATAGAAGCCCGATGTTAGATACATGGTGCTAAAATAACAATTTCCTCCTAATGATGCAAGGGCATCAGCATGATGGGGTAAAGGATATGCATCCTTCTCTGTCCTTTGGTTGAGCCACCTAAAGTCTGTTAAATTTTATTTAAGAACCAAAGTTAGCATAAAAATACCCCGCCATTAAAAATGGCGCGGGCGGTAACTTGAACCAAATGATTAACAGCTCATTAACACGAAACTCACAATATACTGAAAAATAACGCCAAACGAACACACTATTTGACTCAATCCAGCATCAAAACATGTCTCCCACTGATATCAACCAAAATTTTAACTCAATCTGATATATTTTAATACCATGTCACGGAGCACATTTGCGACGTACCTGTCTCGCTCAAGTCCAAAGCTGTTCTGACGAGAGCGGGACGCGACTGGGCAATTCAATCAGAGGAAGTGACATCACACAACATACAACTCAATACATTATTTTAAAACAAAAATACACAGCTTCCATATACTCTTATAAGGTTATTAATAGAGAGACATGAAAATAAAAATAAAATAAATATAATTTATTTCTTGGAAAAAGTAAAGTTTGCTGGAACGGTCAAACCCAAAACACTATAAATGTCTCATTCAGAGTTCGTTGGCTTGCAGGCGCTTCTGCTTTCACAGGTTGTTTGGCGGATTTTCACTGGATGATGTCGAGCAAGATGCGCGCTCATGTTAGTCGTATTACCACAGTAGGATACCCGTAGACGACAGATTTTGCACGCTGCTTTAGACATGTCTAGCTGTTCATTCCCTGGTAATTTGTGAAATCCTAAGTGTTTCCACACTTTGGATTTAAAGTGTGATGGTGCAGGTGGTATATCTCTAGCGGTCATTCAATCCGCCATTTTTCACTTTCTCGTGTTCACTTCACTAGTAAGAGATATGACGTCATGTAATACTCACCGATATAACACATCGCCCTCTGCTGAAATAAAAGAGGTAACTTTCCTCCGCCTCGCATATAAGCAAGGAATAAAATAAAGCAATGCAAGTGTAAATAGAAATAAAATGTAATAACATTAATAACAAAATTGCGATAGTTAGGTGAATCGATTTTTTGTCCCATCCCTAAATCGCAAATACTTGTAGAATCAAATTTCTTAAAAAAAAATAAATAAATAAAAAAACGCAATACATATCGTATTGGCACCCAAATATCGTGATAGTATCGAATCGGGAGGTAGGTGTATCGTCCCATCCCTACTAGCCACAGGAGTACATATGCACTAAAGAAAATAAAAAGCCTCATGGTGAAGCATAAAGAGGTCAAGGATGCAAGTAAAAGTAGTCTTGGTGTCAATCAGACAATTTTTCTTATTATATGCTTTAACAAAGAACACAAACAGGGTATCATGACTTTACATATGTGTCTTTAAGTGTGAATGCAAAAAATGTATTTAGTACACCGAGTACAACAGAATTGTCTTTGAGAAAGAATACACAGATGATTGTAGAAATTGCTCCTTTTTCTAAACCTCTTGTCATTCTGGGGAAAACGGTAATTTCTTACCCAGAATAAGTTCGCAAATGGCATTTCATGCTGCTTTGACAAACTCTTCTCAAACTGAAGACACTAGCAATGTCTCTCTCCAGTGTGACTCCCAAAGTTTGCATTGTTTGTGAAACTCTTTCCACAGTGATGGCACACAAAAGGCTTTTTTCCGATGAGAATTTGAATGATTCTCATGGTGATTCCTGTCTATTCGCACTAATGACAATTAACATTTTTCTGTCTTGAGTGAATCTTCATGTGGTTTTTAAGGTTTTCTTTACGTGTGAAGCCCTTCCCACACAGTTCGCAGATGAAAGGACTCTCTCCAGTGTGAATTCCCATGTGGGCATTAAGGAGTTTATTCTCCTTAAAACTCTTTCCACACTGATCACATACAAATGGCTTCTCTCCAGTGTGAGTTCTCATGTGAACCTTAAGACCGTTATTAAATGAGAAACTCTTCCCACACAGTTTGCAGGTGAAAGGTTTCTCTCCAGTGTGAATTCTAATGTGAATCTTAAGGCTTCCTTTGTACCTGAAACTCTTTCCACACTGAGGGCAGGTGTAAGGTTTCTCTCCAGTGTGAATGATCATGTGGGTATTAAGGCAGTGTTTCTGTGTAAAACTCTTTCCACACTGAGGGCACATTAACGGCTTCTTTTCAGTGTGATTCATCATGTGAACCTTAAGACCGTTATTTAATGAGAAACTCTTCCCGCACAGTTTGCAGGTATAAGGTCTCTCTCCAGTGTGAATTCTCATGTGGATATTAAGGCAGTTTTTCTGTGTAAAACTCTTTCCACACTGATCACATACAAATGGCTTCTCTCCAGTGTGAGTTCTCATGTGAACCTTAAGACCGTTATTGAATGAGAAACTCTTCCCACACAATTTGCAGGTGAAAGGCTTCTCTCCAGTGTGAATTCTCATGTGGATATTAAGGCAGTTTTTCTGTGTAAAACTCTTTCCACACTGATCACATACAAATGGCTTCTCTCCAGTGTGAGTTCTCATGTGAACCTTAAGACTGTTATTGAATGAGAAACTCTTCCCACACAATTTGCAGGTGAAAGGCTTCTCTCCAGTGTGAACTCTCATGTGAGTCTTAAGTTTTCCTTTACACGTGAAATTCTTCCCACACTGAGGGCAGGTGAACGGCTTCTCTCCAGTGTGAATTCTCATGTGGACAGTGAGGTATTTTTTCATTGTAAAACCGTTTCCACACTGAGGGCAGGTGAAAGGACTCTCTCCAGTGTGAATTCTCATGTGGACAGTGAGGTATTTTTTCTGTGTAAAACTCTTTCCACACTGATCACATACAAATGGCTTCTCTCCAGTGTGAGTTCTCATGTGAACCTTAAGACTGTTATTGAATGACTCTTCCCACCCACACAATTTGCAGGTGAAAGGCTTCTCTCCAGTGTGAACTCTCATGTGAGTCTTAAGGCTTCCTTTCCACGTGAAATTCTTTCCACACTGAGGGCAGGTGAACGGCTTCTCTCCAGTGTGAATTCTCATGTGGACAGTGAGGTATTTTTTCTGTGTAAAACTCTTTCCACACTGATCACATACAAATGGCTTCTCTCCAGTGTGAGTTCTCATGTGAACCTTAAGACTGTTATTGAATGAGAAACTCTTCCCACACAATTTGCAGGTGAAAGGCTTCTCTCCAGTGTGAACTCTCATGTGAGTCTTAAGGCTTCCTTTCCACGTGAAATTCTTTCCACACTGAGGGCAGGTGAACGGCTTCTCTCCAGTGTGAATTCTCATGTTGGAATTAAGGTTTGTAGTTTGTGTTTTTTGAGCTTGTGAGGAAGTCTTTTTAGTCTGTGAGCAACTAATTGATTTTTCTTCAGTTTTGAAATCATGCTGTTTCGCATTCTGATCTTTCTCGTCCGTTTCATTCAGTTCTTGACTCTCCTCATTCAGCGCCATCAGGTCTGAGGTGAAAACAGACAAATACAAAGTTAAAACCAGTTTAATGTTACAGACATTCTAACATTTAGTCTAGTGCGATCAATCAATTAAAAAAACTATTTCACATTAAATGTAAAACTAATTAAATTAATGTACAACCCGAATTCCAGAAATGTTGGGACGTTTTTTAAATCGGAGTGTCTATTTACACTAAGTGCAAATAGCCCGCCTTGTTGGCAGAGTCTATTTATACTAGTTCCATCCACAAACGTGTGATAGGGATGGTCAGCACTATAAAAGACTGCCAACAATCATCAGCTTCAGTAGCGTAGATGGTAAAGTGTGTACTGTAGTCTTTTTGATGCGATCGACCCGGGTTCGAATCGCCTTTTACCAAATTTTTTTTCTCCCTTTTCAAATCTCATATCACATCGGAAATACATTTATTTTCAATAAAAATGAAGGAAATAATCAAAAAGTTTAAAATAAAGTATCAGGTAGGGTTAGGGTAGGTGTAGCGAGGGCTTTATTGTCCCAATAAGGTGGCATCCATTTAATAATTTGAATTAAAATTATAATTCACACTCAATACGTTATTACTGCATACTGTTTTATAATGTACTATAATACTGAGGTGTAAATAATTGACACTATTTGCAAAAAATCCTGCTATTTTAACAGTGTAAATAGAATCTATCGCTATTGTGCTTAGCAGTATTTTTACAATATGCTATTTACACTATTTTCACTTAGTGTAAATAGAATCCATTACTATTTGTATTTAGTGTAAATAGCATCTTTCGCTAAGAAAATATGCTATTTTCACAGTGTAAATAGCCGCTGCCTTTTTAAATTAGAATAAAATGAAAACTAAAAGAATTTCAAATCACATGAGCCAATATTTTATTCACAATAGAACATATATAGCATAACAAGTGTTTAAACTGAGAAATGTGTACAATTTTATGCACAAAATGAGCTCATTTCAAATTTGATGCCTGCTACAGGTCTCAAAATAGTTGGGACGGGGGCATGTTTACCATGGTGTAGCATCTCCTCTTCTTTTAAAAACATTTTGAAGACGTCTGGGCATCGAGGTTATGAGTTTCTGTTGTTTTGGTGTTGGAATTTGGTCCCATTCTTGCCTGATATAGGTTTCCAGCTGCTGAAGAGTTCGTGGTCGTCTTTGACGCATTTTTCGTTTAGTGATGCACCAAATGTTTTCTATAGGTGAAAGATCTGGACTGCAGGCAGGCCAATTCAGCACCCGGACTCTTCTACTACGAAGCCATGCTGTTGTAATAGCTGCAGTATGTGGTTTTGCATTGTCCTGCTGAAATACACAAGGCCTTCCCTGAAATAGACGTCGTATGGAGGGGAGCATATGTTGCTCTAAAACCTTTATATACCTTTTTAGCATTCATGAGCTCATTTAGTGGATAAAAGTGTAAAACTTCTCAGCTTAAACATTTGTTATGTTCTCTATGTTTTATTGTGAATAAAATATTGGCTCATGTGATTTGAAAGTCTTTTAGTTTTATATATATGTATGTTTATTTGCAACAGTTATGCTAACAACAATAAAAAGACATTTATGCCATTAAAACAGCGACATCTGCTGACGTACACGTGCTGGTTGTCACGGGAACATCCCAGCTGAAGATAATCACATTCTAATTTATTGAGATGCACCTGTATATATATATATCTCTCTGGGGTGTTTCCTCCGAGGAGGCAAGTGTCTCCTCAAAATATTGGATGAGAAAAAAACAACAACACCAATATTACAAAATATATCATTAAGTACTGTATGAATCACTCGTTTATCTAAAGAAACACTGTCCAACAGTGACACCAGCAGGTAAGGTTTCAGCGGTAGTCGACATCTGTTGTGCCTCCTCTGCTCCCATTGAGTTTTAACTGACCCTTAGCATACCGTGGGTTTAGTGGGGGGGTAATTGAGAATGAATGGGGGAAAGTCACATGAGAGGAGGCAATGCCTCCATCGCGATATGATTGGAGATGACTGGTTATGATCGGCTATGATCTCGTGTTAGTGCTTGTTCCGTGTTTGCTGAATGAACAATATAATGCTTTTAATGGGAAGACTAATTTAAAAAGCAGTCCATCAGGATCAGTGTCCTTATGTTTTATTAAGGTATTGTGTAACTGTAGTTTCCATAACCCCAAAATGCCACTCTATTTTCACGTTCTTATTTTGTACATCTTTAAATGACTTACTTTAGACCAGGGGTCTCCAACCTTTTTGTGAGTGAGGGCTCCCTGAAGGGATAAAATAGTCTCAAGGGCTACTTGTTTGATATACTCCAATATATACACACACACACACACACACATACACATATATATATGTGTTTTTTCTTTTCTTTTTTATATATCTTGATATCTTGCCATTAATAAACATTAATGATTTCTCATAAGCATTTTTATTTTTTTTATCAATCCAGGAAAATATTCCAGACAAATTTATAAAAATAGGCTATCATACAATATTGATATTTATCATGATATTCATTTACCATTAATGGGGAAGGAAATGCATTCCACATGTTTGTTAGACCTTGAGAATTAAGCTAAACATAACTTTGTTCACAATTAAATTCCACAGTGGAGCTACGTTTTCATTTAGGGCCCCATGAAATGCATTTTATTTTTCCCTAAATTCTGTGTTTTCCATTTGATTTCTTATGGATTCTGTGTTTTATGATGTAGTACAAATTTATCATTAAAAAATGGTGTCTAGTGAAATGAATTAATAAAACTTTAACAATTTAATTAATCCTTTAAAATGTAATCAAATGAAAATCAATTGCAAAACATTTTTTTTATTTTACTTTATCAGACACATCAGAGATGCTGCACAACAGAACTGTATAAATTACCGTATTGGCCCGAATATAAGACGACCCTGATTATAAGACGACCCCCCTTTTTCCAGATGTACCTTTTGGAAAAAGGCTTTTTAAAAACCAAATCTTGTTTTTTCTCAGATTACGTATTTCATGGCACACTAGTTTTATGCGTATTTGGCGCCACCTAGTGTTGTGGGTGTATTATTGACATGTCAAAGTCTAGACCCTGAATATAAGACGACCGCGTTTTTTCAGATGTATTTCCAAGAAAAAAATATCGTCTTATATTCGGGACAATACGGTAATAATAAAAATAACTTGGTTGTATGATATTCCTTAAAATTATTATTATTATTATTACTTTGAGAACTGCATTGTAGTATACAGTAGTAATATATTCAGTTATAATTTCAAGTTAAACCGGACGTTTATTTTGACGGTTTGTTGTGAAGGTCTTTCAGTTTTAGTTTCAGCGTGTATTTGACGGTACTTTTTCTCAAATGAAACTGCATAAAGCTGATGAAGTGACTCTCAGAGCAGCTCTGGAGATGAAGTTCATGTGTTCATGTCCTCATATATTGAGACGCAGACGCACACCGCGAGTCGCGTGTGTTTATTAGTGACATGCACTGGTTGCTGTAACATTTATTTCTGTCGTGTGATAGGACGTTAGATTAATCCATATTGAGTAAAAATGTCCAGAGCTTATTATCATTATTAACATAAATTATATCATGATCTCGATATGATATCATGTATCGCCTGACGCTAATTTAGGCTATTTATAGAACGTGCTTGGCGGGTGACTCAGAGACTCCATGCGGGCTACCAAGTGCTCGCGGGCACCACGTTGGTGACCACTGCTTTAGACTAACTTTATTGTTATTAACTTTATTAACTAGTTTGGGACCGCGATGATAGTCTTATCTTACTCTGTTTATTATTTGTGAAGTTGTCAAGTAAAGTAGGACAGTACTTGTGTGTGGGTCAACCATTTTTGTGAATATATGGGTCACAGCTTAATGACGATGTGGAAATGTGGGTCCCATGAGCAAACCAGTTGAGAACCACTGCTTTAGAAATAACATTCATTTCTGTAGAACAGGACATTTTAAAGGGGTCATATGATGCGATTTCAATTTTTCCTTTCTCTTTGGACTGTTACAAGCTCTTGGTGCATAAAGAAGATCTGTAAAGTTGCAAAGACTAAAGTCTCAAATCCAAAGAGATATTCTTTATAAAAGTTAAGAGTCAGCCACACCTACCTAAAACGGCTCGTTCTAACACGCCCCCACATACCTACGTCACTATGTGGGAAGATTTGCATAACACCGCCCAAATGTTCACGCAAAAAAAGAAGGCGTAACTTTAATTCTTGCTGTTGCCGCCGCTGCCATGTTGTGGAGTCGCTGTGT